TTTCGAATTAAGTCACTTTATTGCTGAGGGTGCGATGTGTTGCGTAGATAATATACGTAATATACTGCATTTAATTTTAATTACATGTCAATTCTACGAGGTGTTAACAATTATTAGCCTGTTTTTTTCTAACAAGTGATGCAACAGACCTCTGCTTATCCTTCCAAAACTGCGGAAGTTCTGCACGCTTTTTCCCATCTGTTTCCGTTTCTGCTTCTTTTTGCTATATCAAATGGTTTAGTTATTTACTATTAACTAACGGTCCTCCAAAAATATACGATACATAATGGATATCGATGCCTTAGTTTCTTAAACTCGTATCTTATAAAGAGAGATTATTCAGGAGATGGCAAACCTTTCTATTTATTTTAAAGTTCTTATCAAGTGCGGTAATTTGGATGCATTACTTTGAGAATAAGTAAAAGCCAGTGCGTGAATATGAAGGAAATGTGATGTGAAATAAGCCCGAATAATTGGTATATATAATCCATTTTTTTGCATATCAGTAATTTTGTGCTTTAAGAAAGTAAGGTGACGATATTGTGTAAAGAATGTCCTAATTTATTCACGACAGGACATACTTCGCCCAATCATATATTATCCTGAAATCAAGCCAAAGTAAAAGTCTATAACGAATTATTTAAGAATAAAATATCTAACTTTGCATATAATTACACATCAAGGTGATGTGTAAACATAGTTTGACGAATTTTGTGAAAAAAATATATGAAGAAACAAAAAACAGAACAGTAAGTCGTCATAGTGTTCATTGGAGGTATCGATTTGCTGTCGAATCTGTGGGCGGTTGTTTTAATCCTTGCCAGAATTTTGAAGACATAGGTCGATTTAGGAGCATTTGGAACAGACGTCTATTTTGGCCACAGAAGAAATTATGTGGTCTGTGATTTTGACGAACTCGGTGGCTTAACGGTTTACATTGTGGGCGTTGGATCCGTGAGGGAACGTTCGATTCGGGCGGTCTTAGAAGACTGCTCTTCCGAACATCGAGCGATAGATAACGAAGTTCCTCAGGGTTCCTTACTGTCTGCAACTCTCTTTCTGCTGCATATCAATGATATGTTAATTCCAGGTATCTTCGCGTATGCTGACGACAGCACAGTTGCAGACAGGTAGGTACCTGACCAATGCAAGGGTCGGTGGTGAGGAAATCCAGTCTTGTCGAGAGTCCATAGTTAGTCGTTTGGATTCGACACTTAAGGCGGTCTCCGATTGGGGCGATGCCAATCTTGTCTAATTTAACGCTACCAAAACGCAAGCGTGTCTACTCTCCACAAAACAGAATCTCTTCGACCTAACTCCGACTTTTCGTGATATATTTATACCGATAGCCGACTGTCTCTACTTGGAATGGACCTGTAGTTCAATTTGAACTTCGGCAGATATATAGAAATCATGGCCAAAAATGCAGCCAAAAAGCTGGCATCCTTTCCAGGGTGAGGTTACTTCACACCGGGACAGTTGCTTCAGCTGTACCAAGCACAAGTTCGGTTGTGTAAGGAGTACTGCTGCCCCTTATGGGATGGCTCTGCTACATACCAACTGGCCACTTTGGATTCAATTGACAACCGTGGCAAGAGGCTTGTAGGTGACTCAGAATTAGTAGAGGCGAAGCTGCAAAGCCTCGAACACCGCCGTAAAGTTGCCTGCTTATCGGTATTCTACAGGATATATCACGGAGAGTGTACGATGAAATTGCGCGAATTAATTGAATTAATTCCGCCTTCCTCTTTCTATCATCGGGGGACCAAGCGTAGGCTAGGGTTCCATTCCTATGTTGTGGATATTACAAGAATTCGCACGAAGCGCTTCGCTTCCACATTTATATGGCGAACGGCTATGGAGTGGAATTCACGTTACAACTTTGACCAAGGCGAGAGTGAATAGGCATTATTTAGGTGTGCATGCTCCACGGTCGACTTCATCGTCACTTTCCATCGAGTGAGATTTAAGTCAAATGCGCACTTAGTTTTTAATAAAAAAAAACAAAATGTTCCAGATAGTACCTGTACTATCTGGAATTCCCTGGTTTGAGATCAGGGTGCGGTTGTCAAAAAACAGTGATGGTAAGTGGCGCGACGGGGTGTTGTGTCGTTCGTCCGAATTCGTTAGGATCACTATTGGAGTGAAATGAAAACATCAGAGGGTTAGGAAATCGATTAATAAGACACATATTGAGAAATATACAATTTAATAAAAATTTGTTCATTTCGAGTTCTTAGGTTTTCGCGATTGTTACACATAGGAAACGAAACTATTTTTCCAGATTTAAATCGCGTATATTTGTTTTTTCAAACAAACCAACGTTTCGAACCCTTTAAAGGTCCCATGGTCACGATTGACTGAGGTGGTACAGGCTTTTCAATTCGTTCATTTGTCAAAAGCTTAACTGCATATCTCGAACATCAAATCAAACACTGTCATAACTCATAATTGTGGAATTGAAAAAAACACAATTTGAAAATTAAAAAACTGAATGGTTCTTATTGCGAATAATGTGATTATTTTTACATAATACTTAATTATGCATTTACGAATTCCATTTATAAATATGTAATTTTATGGTACCAAGTTACAGGACAAACAAATCGTGTGCCTGGTGTTGATCGACACGCCTGTCCATAGCAGTTGCACTGCCACTCAGAGCTTTAGATCGCAAAGATCTAAGGACACTGTCACTGCGCCTGCCACCCTGAGACATAAGTTGACAAGTCCCAAGTACCTGTAATTTCACTAGCACCATTGCCCTTCAAAATCGAATAATGCTCACATTACTGCTTGGCGGCAGAAATACGTAAGGTGGCAGTACTTCCCTGGACGAACAATGAGCTCTACTGCTACTTATGCTATATGTATATTTAATTCATTAATTTTTTTTTAAGTTCCAAATTTTCTCAATTGTACAATTTTGAATCACGACAATATTCGGTTTCATGTGCGATTAATCTATACTAAAAACTAGTTTATATAATCGTACTCGCATTTGTGTTTTAACTGGTTGTTATGCGACATGATAATTAAGTATTGTAAATAGCATTACTACATTACTTTGTACAGACGACAGCTCATCAAGCTACACATTGACGGACCTTCATTTCTTGCATTGAAGGCGATATTCGAACAAGAGTGTAGGTACCACGGAAGAAAAAAAACAATGGAAGTGCCATAAGCCTCGATTACTATCGGAACCGATGCCGCCAAAACGCGTACAAACAAAATGATAAACACTATGAAATCTTGATAATGATTGGTTTCTAATTTAAAAATATGTAATAAATTCTGGATTGTTAATATAATTTAAACTTTACCCAGTCGCTATATCGTTGAAAGTTCAACATTTATTGGAAATGTTTTGACTTTATTTTGAAATTTTATTCAACATGCTGTCATCTAGCGGCCAGTAACTGGACTTCGACGAACGATTTGCATCTGAACGAATAGATAAACAGAAAATTGAAATTTTATTAAAAAAGGACTTACCGATTATTTGAAATACTACTATGGGTAATGTTTTTGGTGCAGCTATCATTTTTACACTCCAAAACAGCACAATAAGACATTTTTCTACGATTGTAGAGAATTTGTGCGAAAGAATGTCACAACCATACTATACAAAGCGAAAATGGCGGACTGGGCTGGGTAGGTCTTTCAAGATCTATAATAGTTGGCACGCGTCAGACGCCAACTAACTACTTCTATTGTATGTACAGGGTACATGCATAGGTACAGGGTCAACAGCACGTCAAGTTTGACATTTAAGATTTAAATCCAAGTATGCCGCTCAGAACAGTCCAAAGTACAAAGTGTCAACCTTGACGTGCTCTTGACTGTACTATAGCTTGATGTGCTGACCGTATGTACAATAGTTATTATAATAGGATGATTGGCAACTAGGTTCTATTATATTAATCATTTTTATTATTTCTATTTATATACTTAGCCTGTTATCATAATTTTTCGTAAACTTAATATATCTACTAATAACGATAATCTAATTTCAAAGTATTGTGATGAGGTAATTAATTGGCTCTAAATTACCTTATTTGTACACAAAAAAAATCATAACATTCATAACGTATTTGTACAAAAAAAAATCATGTTTGTACAAAAAAACTCCATCAGTAGAAACTAGATAAATAGATAATATGCGTCGCGCGGCCGTTGCCGACGCATTTTCCACTCTACCTATGAGAACGACCGGGTAAAACCGGAGAGGCAAAAATTTAAGTATTACCTTCTTCGTAATTATGTACTATATTTCAATACAATATTTCTGTATTATTATTAATTACGTTCTCGTCTACATACGTCCTATTCATACTAGATTTAATACATATAGGAGGGTGAAACGGGATTCAGGGGGCGTAGCAAACGGCTCGGTCCGACGGCGAAGTAAAATGCAGCGAGTAAAGTAAAAGCGCAACTATATTGCTTGTTGTCACACACCAGCACGTCAAGCTACACATTGACGTATCTTGTTCCGTTGCACTGGAGGCGATTTTCGAACAAAAATGTGTAGTCTGATGTGCCGTTGTCCGTACATACAAAAAGGGGGAAACGTGTGGTCCGGTAGGTGCTCGTACGCAACCTGTATGCTATTAAAATATCTAATGTAGTCCAGTAGTGCCGTGCACACATAGCATTCCAAACCATCAATACTTTTTTTTAACCCCAAGTCGGTTGAGAAGAACCTCCTCCTTTTTGAAGTCGGTTAAAAATTAGAAATATAACATTCAATAGATCATCGTTCTTCAACCTTCTCGACCCCTGAACAACCAAATACAAAGTATAAAATAATACAAATTTTAACATGTACATTTTTCTATTTACAATTTACTCTGAAACACTTGAACGTAACTAAAAATTTCATCTTTTAAAAAATTCGTACGATAATTTTATACCTACATTGCCGTTGTAGAAGTCGCGACGGTAATTAAGGCTTAGGCTATAACGGATAACGGAAACTTGTTGACAGTTGCGTCAACTAAAATTGCTCCTTCTGTGCAGCGCTCAAAGATTGTTGTTATAATTTTAGGAATAATTGTTTTCGAATTTTCGTAATGTCGCCACAAAAAATGTGACCACCTATCACACCATGTCACACTTAGTAAACCTTCCAACGGCTTAACCTGCGATGTCATTAGATGCTAGTCCCTTAGGATTGTTGCAGATTTGTAGTGGTATTTCCTGGCTGATTTCGGACTCGGTAGTTTGGCTGATGGTGCTGCCTTTATTGCTCTTGAATTGCAACATATTGCGTCTCATTTGCCAGTCGTTGTGACCTGACAACCTGAAGCACATAAAAAATGTGATTATAACGGACTTTCTAACATGAAGAATTATTTTCATTGAAATTGCTACATCGATGTCTTTTATTTACTTTGATTATTATTTTAAATGTCACACCCTTGCTGTAATGAGAACATATCTGCAAAATGATAACTTTTCAGGAGAGAGGTTTTGTTTAAATTCTAATATACATTGTTTAGGTATGTATTTATGAGTATAAAGTTACATATATTATTACCATTTATATTTACTTTTAAATTTTAACACATTTATTGTACAATAGGCTTTCTTCGGCTGGGGTTCGCGGATAGAGATCTTTTCTAAAGATAAGCTCACCTTTTTATATGATCCATCCTTTGTTGTATGTATTTTTATTGTCTTTTTCTCGCACAATAATATTTATAACATTCTAGGAACGAGATTATTCGATAATTTTTTTATGCTTAAATAGAGTTATATTGTTTCACATATTATTTTTATGATTTACATGTGAGAAAAGCGCTTATAAGGTATAATTATCATTGATTTATTTATTTTGTTTTAACAGTTTTTTTAAATTAGATTGGTGTGTCCCACTGTTGAGCAAAGGCCTCTCCTCTCGACTTCCACGGTTCCCTGTTTGACGCAATGCTAGGTCAGTCTGTTATAATATATGCTTTTACAGTACTTATTAAACGTTATTAAACTATTTAACCATCCTTACCTACGGTGCGCAGACATGGACCTTGACCGAAAGTCATACAATAAAAAAGTAATATTCGACCAAGTAAAGAGACAATATCAAGTATGAAGCTTCATTCGTATCATGTATCTTTTAATTTTGTCGAGTATTACTTATTTGACAGTAATTGTTTCAGACTGGTGTCGGACGAGAATGAGGGTATAGGACCAGACCAAGCAGAGAAAGAGGGATGACTTGGACACGTATATAACAGACTGGCCTAACATTGCGTCAAACAGGGAACTTTGGAAGTCGAGAGGAGAGGTTTCGCTCAAAAGTGTGACATACCAATCTAATTTAAAAAAACGTTTAAAAAATTTAAAAAACCAATGATATTTATACGCCAAAAGCGCTTTTATCACATTAAAGCCTTAAAAATAATATGTGAAATATCATAACTTTCCTATTTAAGCATAAAAATGTTATCCACTAATTTAGTTCGTAGAATGTTTAAACCTCTCTTCTGAAAAGTTGTAATTTTGTAGATGTGACTTTATTACACCCAGGGTGCGATTTGTTAGTTACATAACTCCATAAAATCACATTAACATTCGCTATAATAAGTATCGTATATATATTGTTTGAGAGTGATGATGACCACTTGATTCATTACACACGCAGACAATTTTTTTTTGCAATGATTCACCAGTCTAATCTAAACCACAAAAGTACAACATAAACGTACGCATGTAATGAGCGCTAAATTCTTTTAATAATTAACAGGAAACAGCGAATACGCGTAAATATTATCTTGCTTTATTGCGTTTAGAATTATGGAAAACAACAAAGTTTAACAAAGGACAAAAATCTTAACAAGAAACGAAATTACAGATCTTTGGTTCTTTTTTGTTTTAATGGAATTTTGGCCGTAGCGCCACCTGTGAGATATCTACGACAGTTTTCGTCACTCGACCAGGTATCTTTACAGCTACCAGAGGTTGGCAAGAGATGTCGCTTTAGAAATTATAATATTGGACGTAATTAATATTTTACTACATTGTAAAATAAATCTCCTATAAAAAATAGATACAGGCGTTACTTTGTGGAAATCTAATCGTCGTGCAAAACAGCTGCGCTGTTTTGATATGATTTTTTTCTTTTTTCCATTACGTTATTTAACAATTAAGTAATTTCCTTAAAATAATAACTATTAACACAAGTCCCGAACCTAGAATATGTATGACGGTTCCAATCGAAATTCACGAATTGTATGTACAATCCTAACAATTTTGAATAGCTGTAGATCAATTAGCTTGTATTTTTACTTTTTTTCTTTAACTAATAATAATTATTTTTATTCATTTACACTAGCGCAGCTATTGAGCATAATTTAACCTTTCAGGTTTACGGAGAAGCCTTTGCTATTTGATTTAATAAAAATGAAAGTAAATTACTTTTAATTTACTTCCATTTTTAGTAAATCATCCATAATGTCGCTTACCTTTTAATAATTTTCCGTAAAATTTTTTTCTTACAGACAAAAATGACAAAAATGAAGAAACCCATGAGTAAATTGTAAGCGTCGCTTATGTACCAGACCTTGAAGCCAGGATTAGAGGAACTGACCACCTCCAATACCCAGTTGATGCCCATGATAATAGCCAATTTAAGATACACCATGAATCTGAAAAAGATTTCTAATTTTAAGACAAAGATAAACAATTTCATTACATCAATACAGAAATTATCATGCAAGAATAAAGGGCAGGAGTTGAAATATAACTAAGTAGGAAACTAAGGGTCGTATTCTAGAACTCTACTTAATGCTCAAGTCAGGATTTGAGTATGGTTTAAAACACTCGAAATCACACTCAAGTCCCTGCCATTAAGGTCATATTTCCAGTGCTTGTGTCGCCAGTGCAATCCTAACTTGAGCATTGAGTATAGTTCTAGAATGCTACCCTAAGATTGAGTAGGAATAGGGCGACATTGATGCCTATATCGAAATTTATTTTGACAGCCCTGCAACAACATGTCAATGATACATTCGCCTACTACAAAAGGACAATTAACATAAATGTAAATTATAAATAACATTATATTAGAAATTTAAAAAATTATATAATATCAGCATCATCAACCCATTTAAACATCCCATTACCGGACACGGGTCTCTTCTCACGCAAGGGATTAGGCCACTGTTAGTCACGCTGGCCCAATGCGGGTTATCCACACGTTTTCCGAAGGTTGTGAACCTTCTTCGACGTGCAGGTATCATCACGATGTTTTTCTTCACCGAAAAGCTCATGGTAAATTTCAAATTAAAATGTAATACATAAATAAATGAAAATAGTAAACAAGTTATAATTAATTGATAATTTGATATTATTATATGATTTAATTTGAGATTATTATTTTTTACATATAAATACAGTTGCTCAAAACGTGGTGTTTTTCGTAGCAAATCGTGCCGAAAGTTGGATTTATCGCACTAGTGCTTTTTACTTTTCCATTTTTTTTAAATTTACTGTTGTTTCAAGTCTTAAACATAGAACTAAAGAGGATAGATAGATATACACTTTATTGCTCACACACAGGAACAAAAACAGTACATAGACAGCTTAAAACTAATGTGGGCAAAGGCGGTCTTATCGCTAAGAGCGATCTCTTCCAGACAACCTTTGAGATATAGGAAAACTAATCGGAGCGGGATACGTAGTGTGCCAATATCAAAATTTGAATTGTATAGAAAAACAATAATTAACATTATATTTTTTGTCAAATAATAAATAACGATATAGTGTACCTACGTGTACCTATATTAGTATATATAAATATACCTAAATAAACTTATATTTACTAATAATAAATACACATTCACACAGACCCAGGACAGTGTCAGAAGATATTTAGGCAATCCAGTTTTGAAAATGGGAAGTGACTTTGAATGTCGGATTTCAGACGGGAGTTCGTTCCATAGTTGTGCAGCCTTAATAGTAAAAGAGCTTTTGAAATACTCCGAGAGAGTGAAAGGTGGTTTCAGAAGTTTATCCATTTTAGACCTAAGTTCACGATTGTAATCCTCCCCGAGGAAGCGAAAACGTTCCTTAAAGTAAGGTGGAGTACGAGGGTCATATAGAACGTTATGGAGAGAGCCGAGAACGTGCTCCTCAAAGAAGAGAGAGGTTGTATATTTATTTAATATTTGTGTACTTTGTGACGTAAGTAATTCGTCATTAAAACTTATATTTACTTACATACATCTTATTTGCTTAAATTGCATAGGTGTTTTATAAAATAACGGGTTACGTTTAAAAATACCAAAATATTTTCCATAACGATGGCTGATTGAGTATTAACAATGACCGGAGGTGAGTATTACGCGAGACCGCTGCGCGCCGCGCCAATAAAATAGTAATTTGTGGCTGAATACTGGCAACAGTTGCCATTGTAATCTGAATTTTTATCAGATAAAGAAATGAAATGAGTTTTTTTTAAATACTGTTTTATTTTACTTTCCATGTAGGTTTTTCGCAAATGTATTAAAAAACGTCGTTTGATACACGTGCGGATTTGTCATTTTAACTTGTAGTCGAAGCCTCGAGACTCGTGAATATTGACTAACTTTCCGCACTTGTATCAAAAATAACTAATATGATATTCTTCCGAGACGGCTCGTATTTCTTACGCGCCGATTTGAACGAGAGAGCTCGCGCCACGGGCTAGTCCGGGCGGCCTCGGGTCAGTCCGGGCGGCCTTGGGTCGACGACGCGTGTGGCGGCGCATTTTCGAGTGTGTATCTACATCAAAGGCCACGCACGCTCTGTGTTACCAACTCGCGGCTGATTCAAACAGGCCGCCACGAGCGAGTATACTCGATACGATACTCGAGCATACTCAGGCGACCCTCTTTCCACGGCGCGCTGCTATAATAAGCTTTGATTATAGTGACCCTCCTCACCGACATAATCTGTGCAAGCACAGGGACCTTATCAGTCAGGTCCTGACTCCAGATCTGCCCGTTTGCACAGATTTCAACCGGTTCTCAAAAGGCTGGTGCCTTGGGTGAACTGCCCCGGGTGCATGTACAGCACCCTCCCTATTTACCAGGCCGGGCCACGGGCCGTGGGAAGTCGCCTTTAGAAAGTATTATGCAATAATAAGATACGTACCGATATCGCTGTGTGCGATGAGCAGCCGGCGTACCGGCGGCCGCAGAATCCAGCACAGCTGTACTCCGATGTAGCCGCCAAATATTGAACGCCGTCATTACAAACAACAACCAGTTGCTCAAGATTAGAATCAGCATCGGTACGTATAGATAGAAGAACTTCCCATCCTCTAAAACGAAATGACATTACTGACCAATAAAATTAAGGTGTTTTAAATTAAAAGTATAACCTTGGTAAAGAAAACAGTTTCTTTATAATTATTACGCATGGGAAATAAGTGAACTAAGTTAATATACATACCCAAAGAAAATATATATGGTGGTGCGAATTTCGAAATTCTTTTTCAGGGGAACATAATTTAGAATATTTACGTCCAGTTTTAAATTCAATTTTATAATAATATCGTTTAAGCCCTTTTGTACAAAACACCGACGAAAAATAACTGAGTGTTGCGATATCGAACTTATAGATTATAATAATCAGCGATCGGAATAGGTAGTGTATTTTCGAGGAACAGGGACACAAAGTGGAGACTGCCTTAGGACAATATTTTTAGGTCCTGGATCTTTTCGGGATTGGAGAAATCTCTTCAGTATATTCGTAATTGTGGTGGTAGACATTAGGTAGGTAGACATTTGTCTTAACTTTGCAACGAGTTGTTGCAACACCTATTTATCGGAAGATTTAGGAAAATTCTTAATTTAATTAGAACTGTTAAGATATTATAGTGTTTTTTTTTAATGGGCTGTACGTGGAAATCCGAAACCATAGAAGATACAAGAAAGCTGTTAGGAACCATTAAGTCTGCTTTTGTGGAAACAATTTTGGCATAATCAATTATTTGGTCAAGCGTGAGTTGAATTAAATTGATCAAAATTTTTTAGTGCTGACCGACTCAGTTTCATGAAGAAATCATTTCATTGTATGCGACGAAAAATCGGGACAGCTGAAGTTGGTCAAATTTCATAAAATATTTTTTCATGCAAAATGAATAAAATTGACTAATTTTTTTAATGCTAATAGACTGAGTTTCTTATAAGATTGAATATGCCAAAATTATTTTCACAAAAAAATTACTTAATAGTTCCTAAGACAGTTTCCTCGTATCTTCTACGGATTTCTCCACACAGTCCCATTAAAAAAAACGCTATATATTTCAAACATCCTATTGATTTATGGACATTCTACAAGAATACAAGAATACATCTGGCATCTGGTATTCTATTAAATAATTTAAGTGCCAATATAAACATCGTTCTATTGTAAAATTTCAAGGTGGGGCGTTGTTTTGGCCGTATTTCTATTTTGTTCCTTGTTTTCCTGGGATGTCTGGTTTTCACTAGATTAAAGTTGCCTGGATTTTGTTTTATATAAACACAGGCCTCGTAAATATACATAGATGGTAGGGTTAAAATCTTTAGTTTTCTAAAATAGGGTACACAGCTTTCTCGCTGGCCCACACCAAACATGGACCTGACACATTTCTTCTGGGTTTTAAACAGTGGTGTAATATGTGTTGCAGCAGCATTCCCCCAAAGCAGCAGACCATATCACAAACTAGAGGCTACATAGGCGTGATAAGCACAAAGAGCAGTTTTTTGTGACGTTATTCTCGTCAGATTTTTCAGGACATATACGTATTTACTAAGTTTAGTGTTTAACTTATTTATATGTGACTTCCAGCTCAAGTGATTATCAAGAGTAAGGCCCAAGAAATTTGTTTCATCAACCTGAGCTACATTTTGTGTATTGTAGGTTATAGTTAAATTTTTTGGTCGTGATTGTGGCATGTAGAATTGCATAAACTTAGTCTTGTCCAAATTTACTACGAGATTATTTAATTGTAGCCATTTTATAGTGTCACTTAGTGCATCATTTAAAGTTGATTCATATTCATCAATATTAGTGCATCTCACAAGCACAGAGGAATCGTCAGCAAAAAGTATCATCTTTTGTTGAACATGGTCTGGCATGTCGTTAATATAGAGAATAAATAATAGTGGCCCTAAAATACTGCCCTGCGGTATACCGCGCTCTACAGTTCTAATATTTGATTTGGCTACTTTCTCCGTGTTTTTGTCCATGTATGTAATATGTGTCTCTTGTTGGCGATTCTCTAGATATGATTTTATTAGATCATGTGCTGGTCCTCTCAATCCGTAGTCATATATTTTGTCTAATAGTAACTTATGTGACACAAAGTCAAATGCTTTCGTCATGTCCATGAAGATTGTAGATACTGCTTCCCTTTTATTGATACAATCCGATACAGTTGTTAGTAAATCAATTATTGCATGATTTGTAGATTTATTTTTCTGGAAGCCATACTGTTCTGGTTTTAATGTTCCAGATTTTTCTAAAAATCCATAAATACTATTATAAATTATTCGCTCCAATATTTTTGATAGAACTTGATAGCAGATTCTACCTACTAAACCGACTAAAATTATCTCATCGACACTTCGTGTTCTAGTACGTGTTAACTTTCTGACTCATTTTCATGTCATAATCAGAAAGTCGAAATTTTCCTAAATATTCCGAAAAATTGGTGTTACAATAAGTCGTCGCAAAGTTAAGATAAATATGGTCTACCTGCTTATCCCAAATAACATCAATTTTGACGGATCTTGTTCCGTTACACTGGTGGCGATAGTCGAACAAAAGTATATATAATAAGCGTATAGCTTGATGTGATGTTGATTGTACTAGAGTGATTTCCTGAATCCAGAAAAGATCCAGGACCTAAAAAATATTGTCGTAAGGTAGTCTCCATTTTCTGTCTATGTTCCTCGAAGTTTAGGTAAAAAAACTCTACCTATTCCGATCATTGATCATAATATAATAATAATAAGTTTCTATGGAGTACCTATAAATATAAAAGATAGATCTATAAATATAAGAGAAGAGAAACATGTGACTTTATTAGACCCTTGGTATAAATAAGCCACATAATGTATGATAACACGTCAAAAGTGCTTTTATCACGTCAATACCTCTACTACTACGTAAACTTGATTTTTTGGTCATTTTTGTAAACAGCCATATTTATTTACTAATATTATGCTCCTCGAATTTTGTGAAGAAAGAGAAACAAAAAACAAAAATAAAAAAAACAATTTTGTGAAAAAAAGAAACAAACACAAAATAAAAACAGAACAAGTTCAAAAATTAAGTTGGTGCAGTGTTCATTTTAGATATCGACATGTACATGTAATATTATATGTGAGCTCTCTTTTTAGGGCGAGTCACCGGAGGAAAGTGGGACAAACTGTTTGGTTAGATCAAATGGTTTAGGTATTTACTATGTGGCCTGTGGTATTTACTATTAAACTACAGTTAAAAAATATATACAGTACACCTAAGGATATTGTATAAAGAAAGTGATAATATTTGTTACACGATGGATGTACAGTACAGTCCTGAAATATTGAAAAGTTGTCACTTAGGCACATGTGGCATTGTTTCTTTTGTGTTAACTTAAAAAAAAAAGGTTTTTTTCTTTTAAATTTTTACAGCGTCAATGGTCATTTAAAAAATAAATTTTGGCGCGCATAGTAAGCGGGAAAGTTTTTAGCTTATAATATTCATGAACGACGCTCTGAACTGATGAATCGCAAAGGTGTCGTATTTCATCATAATAACGCCGAACCACAAGTAAAAGCCCGTAAAAATATACATAATTTCATTAAGAAAGAAAATATACATAATAATATTAACCTTAGAACTAAGTACCACGATTTCGTTTAACTAACGTAAACGATTCTTTTATGGGGAACTGTATACGTTTTTACAATAAGATTCCGGAGATAATATTAAAATTATAATTTCCTAAGTTTAAAAATTATATTAAAAGTATTTTAATTGAAAAGTCATGTTACAAAATTGAAGAGTATGTTTTAGATAAAGAAGTATGGAAAGACAACAAGAGTCTAGATTCCACACAAGTATGATTCAATATTCCATAGCATTTAAGTTTATTTGAAAAGAGCAATCCCTAGAGTTTCTTGCTCGTTCTTCTCAGGGAGGTCAGAGCGTAGTCAACGAGCAGTAGCTTCAAAATGACGTTTTCAAGTGTAAAAATTTAATAAATAATTATTTGACTTTGACAAGCGTCGTTCCAAGGCCGTAAACATTTTTTGCAGTTAGGTTGGAATATGTTACCTCATCTGCCGTATTCACTCTACATAGCCCCTTCAGATTTGCAAACACAACATTTGTAAAAAAAGACTTTGAAGTGAACAGACTATCAAACGACCTTGAAACTGGTTGTATTTTATAGTAAAGAC